AGGGTTTCTACGTTAATTCCCAGAAACCCTATGTGAAACCTGATTGCAGGGTTCCAAGAGGTCCTGATGGAGGGCTCACTATGCATGCAAGGATTATATGCAGGGCTCGCTCAGGTTGTATCAGGGTGGTTCAGGCTCTGGATTAAAGGCTCGAGACCTCCTGGTGGCTAGGCATAAAGTGCCCACAAACTATAGGATCAGCTCAGCAAGGCCCCTGATTGTCAATCCTCCAAATCCCAAACTGATCGCGACAAGGCCCGTAGTACGTAGATTACAGAGAATTCAAAACGTATACTTTTTTTTCGAGACCAGAAAAGCGTACTAGCCCGTACTGAGGCCGAATGTCGACATTTTTTTCAACATATGTTGACATTTAAACCGTACTGGAAACCGTACCCGTACTCAACCCGAACTTTGTCAACATTATGTTGAAAAAAAGCCGACCTCAGATGTCGACATCTACCCGTACTCGCTTACTTTTTCAGCGTGTCGCTTACTTTTTGTGCGCAGCCGCTTTGGCCTGCTCCGATCCTCGATCTCGATCCCTTAACAGGACTGCACCTCGAAGCTTGATTTGCCCGAATGTACCTCGACACCGATATATAGTAGATAGTCCTACGCAGGACACATATGGCGACGGCGGATGACAATGGTCGAAATGCACTCGTTGAGAAGGCCAGCCCAATGAAGCTTTATAATCCCCAAGCTTAATTGCCGCCAATGCAGGTGGAGGGTACGTGGCTCTGCATCCGCGAGATAGAGAACTTATTCTCGTCGACGGGCGAGGACAAGTGCCTTAGCTGCCAATATTATCGTGATCGAAGCTAAAGCCCTTCTGAACTAGATTGATCGAGAGCTCCAAGCTTTGGGTGGTGCTTTCGTATATGAATCATACCACATATATATATAGAGGATTTATAGGGTTATATTGATATAGAGGTATGTAGTATATGAATATAAATAATAGAGAGAGAGAGAGAGAGAGGTTGAGAGAGAAGGCTGTCGGGATCCGACGACGGGCTTTAAGCAGGATCTCTCGGTGTCCCGGCTATCAAAAGCCCTCGGTCGCAAGGTACCAATCCTACTCTAAGCCCCGTAATCCTCCAAACTGAAACCACAACCACACACCCTGAAACCCTGAACCAACAACCACCAATCAACAATAATTCAAATTAACCCGTATATAATTATACAATTATATAACCCAGAAACCCTCTTACCCTGCCTGAAACGTTTCGTGGCCTGTGCAGGACCCAGGGGTGTGAAGGTCTTCATAATTCGTCTGGGGTTAACTGGGCTTGGCACATATTATAGTACAGACATATACTTTTTAATGGGGTTCGGAGCATTGATTGGGATCACCAGGGTTTGCTGAAGCTCGTGGTCTAGTAGTGGACTTGGAAAACCCTGTATAATACAACCCCATATACGTCTATATATATATATACATGTGTGTATGTGTACATATATCTATATATATATATATATATATATCTATATCTATACCTATATATATAAATATATACATGTATCTATATATATATGTATATACATATATATATATATATAGCTGATAAATAAATATATAAATAAATAAATATATATATATATATATATATCAGCCCCGCATATGCCCCTGGTCGAAGCCCTTAAAACCCTATATACATATGTATATATATATACTAAACCCGACGACTTCTATCTAAACCCTATAAACCATTTGGCCGTGGCCCAGGTCCAAGATCCAGAAAATCATCCAGCAGTCGCAAAGCAGAAAGCACCCGGAGCGGCTCGTCCTGTGGACAAATCTTACTTAATTGGCTGTCAGGGGATTAAGGTGTTACATGGCTTGGGGGATGAGCGAACTTAACGTACATATGCTCGATCGAAATACAATTAAGTACACGCAGTCGTTCACACATGTGCTAGTAGTGCGGCTTATATGCAACTTGGAACAGCCCTTAATTAACCTTGATCAGGTCTGTGTTTGCACGATCTCAGGTTTCCAGATCAGAAGCAGTACTTCGTTATTACTCGCCAGTTCGAAGACTCGGGGCAGCATTATTATACTCGTGCACCATTATAATGTTAACGTTCTGACCCTTGTAAACCCTATATACACCCTGAACCCTAAGCCGCCAGCTAAGGAGGCCTATGACTGAGTCTGAGCCGGCTTGTGGGTGTGGAAAAATACCGATGCTTTGTGCACTATAGATGCAAAGAGTCGGTGTTGTGTGTCAACAATGCACGCAGAAAACAGACTCACGAGGCTGATGTCAGATGTTTCTAGGCTCGAAGGTGTGGTCTTGCTCAGACCTCGAAAAAGGAGCGCAGCAAATGGCCGGTCCCACCGAGTCGGACCTCGAGAAAAGAATCAAGGCTGGGTTGTCAGGTACATGCATATGGTCGTTCGTCCTGGTGGCTCGGTTCGTTTATTTGGTAGGAGCTACGATGCTACATCGATGAGAGCGCTCCCCCGGCGGCCAAGAAGCCCAAGCTGACGGCTTCTGCCACTTTGCCAAATGAAATTATGTAGCCCCATAGAGCATCATACCTGAATTGCATGTACTTAACTCGATCCTGCAAACTGTAGGCTCCAATCCGTCTGAACCCATGGACACCCAAGAGTATAAGAGAGAGAGAGAGAGAGAGAGAGAGAGAGAGAGAGAGAGAGAGAGAGAGAGGAGAGGAGAGGAGAGGAGAGGAGAGGAGAGGAGAGGAGAGGAGAGGAGAGGAGAGGAGAGAGAGAGAGAGAGAGAGGAGGAGAGAAGAGAGAGAGTAGAGAGAGAGAGAGAGAGAGAGAGAGAGAGAGAGAGAGAGAGAGAGAGAGAGAGAGAGAGAGAGAGAGTATAAACCCCAAGAAACGCCCTAAGCCTTGGATGACCGTCTTAGGATTGAAGCCTTCTGAAATGGCAGAAGACAAGGAGGTTTGGTATCATGGGTTCATTATACTAATTTAGGGCGGGGTCTTAACTTGCTTTGAAGACGGATGTACTGTGCCGCAGAGGTCGCTTCGCAATGTAGTTAAAGGATGTGAGTCCTTCCTGATTTCGGAGGATATTTTACATTCTATTAATTGTGCCTACTAAACCCTACATAGGCCGATAACCCAATAATGCACTCTTATGCACAAGCAAGGAACCGAAGTCCCTGGACCCGCTCTTCGCCGAGACCTTGCAAATGCCCAGTACGCCTGCTCCCTCGGCCCCCGCTACTCCCTCGTCTATGGTGGCTATGGCTAGGACTTCAAGCCCGGCTTCTGTGAGAACGGACAAGTCTTTCCCAAGACCAACGAGGCGAGCCCCGAAACCCAGTGTGAAGCGAGAGCCGGGAAGCAGCCACGACGGTGCTGTGCCTTGGATGTCCGGGTATATACATGTGCATGCTGCATTTTCAGCATCCTGTGTGAGTATCACATCCGACAACCAAGGATGATGCAGCAATAGCACAGCTTCAGCAAGAGCAGCAAATGCTGTTGCAGAAGCAGCAGGAGTTGAACCGGAAGATGAACATGTTGCAGGCTGCCAAGGCAGCAGATCCAGCATCGAAGGCATCGTCGATTGCCGCAGCGAAGGAGAAGGAGATGGAGGAACCTGAGAAGAGCTCCGACGAGGGCGACGATGATGATGATGATGATAACGACCCCGACAAGGGAGATTGGGGATTGGGTACAACCTTATGCCCGAAAACCGGGAAAGTGCCAGATCAGCATATGGATCCCGAGCGCAGACTATTTGTGCTTTAATTCACAATCTCTGAAACTAGCCCATGTAAGGTTATCAGTCTCGACGCCCTGAAGCAGCGGCTACGACGGGCGTGCAAGAGGCGAAAAAACGGGAAAGTCCCCGGTGGAGAGGCTGCCTTCGAAGCCTATCAAGACGTGGAGAACAGGCAGCATCTCGCGAAGCTGCTGGTGGACGCGAAGTTCAACGAGGACAGGTGAACTAGAGTTGTCTCATGCCTTTAACATGCGTGAAATGTACATTGTATTGTCTGAGATGTTTATAATCTCGACCCCTGCCAGAAGCAGTTCGCCATCAAGATGAAGAAGTATGTGACCAAGGAGAAAGAGAAAAGCCTCACGGTCGATGCAGGCTGGTACACCGAGTCGGAGATGAAGGACAAATTGGGGTATGATGCGTGCCTCTGATGACCTATGTAGCCCTATATTAAATTGCTTCCCCAATATAGGATGTAGAATGTGCCATCTGAGGAAGACAATCAAGAAGATCGTGGACTACACTTCCAAGAATCCGAGCGTGCTGCAGCGGCCACTTTTCAGAAATCTACAGAGCATAGTATGTTCAATTTACCCTATTAATTAAGTAATTAAATATACTTAATTCGAGCCAATCCCCTCGACCGATCCTAAACTATATATACATATATGTATACAAATATATACATATATAGAATTGATAAAAATGAATAGATACATATATAAAGGCTGCAACCCGCAGGCACAAACCTCGCACCTCCCTTCTACATATGTAGTTCTTTTCCGAAAAGTTCTGATCTTTGCTTCCACCCAATCCCCAAAACTCCGTGAACGCTCTATGCATATATGCATGGTATATATATATATGTATATACAAATTAATCCCTAGTCTCCTTCCACCACTCTAGACGCTTCGTGTCCCGCTTCGATTCACCACCTTGGAGCCACTTGTCCCAAAACCGCAAAACCCTAACCCTGATTCCCTATGTAAACCCTGTACCCTACAACCCCTGACTCCATGAAGCCAAAAAAACCCTATACATTATATATATATATATATATATATATATATACTTTTATAACATAAAACACCATAACCTCAAAGTAACTTTATAACCCCATGTATGTATAATCCTGAACCCCGACCAAATCCTAACTCCTGAATTTTCCAAACTAGGAAATGGAAGTACGATGAGACGATTATCCAACACTGGGTGGAAACCAGTTGGTCGGGTCAGCTTGTGCACAAAGACAATGAGAAGTCCGTCCATGAAGAAGAACAGGAAGCCAAGGACACCCCGAACCCCAACCTGAGCTTCGACAACGGTGGCAACCAAACAAATCCGGGTAGCGCCGCCACTGGTGCCAATGAAGGAGATGTCATCTGGCCAATTAATTGACATTTGTTTATCTAGATATGTATATCTACATGCATGGATACAACCACATATACATAGATTCTTCTGTGGCTCCATATAAGGATCCAAGAGCGGCCCTGGAAAGGGCATGGTCGGAGATGTTGAGCAAGACCAACAAGCTTCGTGACAATGTCAACGTATTGCAGAACTGTGACATGAGTGATGTTCAGAAAAGGCGGGGATCGTAGTCGGACCGTATATACTCGATCATGTTAATTCTACGTACCCAGTATGTCGGATGCCATGAGATACCCTTAGAAGGCATGCTGATTCTATGCTGAAGCACGCGGATGCTATGGAGCAGCACTACGATAAGATGTCAATGCTCAAGGCCACCGCCAACATCCGTCTTTCGGAGAAGCTCCCCGGTAGCAATCTGAAGCAAGCTGTATACAGTATAATGATGACTTTCTCATGGCACCTGCTGCTTCTGAGGCTGAAGGACGAGATCATGATTGCCCTCGATACGGCTTCTGTTTTGACTCTGGCTTCAATTAATGGGTTACTTCCGGTTGGGCTCTGTCTTGATCCCCGAGCCTTCGTCACCATCCAAGGGCATGCCAGTGCGTCAGCTTGGAGAGCAAGGTGGCCCCTTCCTTGGCAGAGGCCAAAAAAAGTGGCCCGAAGGCCACTGGTGAGCCGGGTACCAAGCCTGGCCCTGTTCCTGCTGGGCCTGTTCCTGGGTCGGGGCCTGGACCGGGGACCGCGAACCCTAAGAAAAAAGCCAAGGCGAAGGCGAAGGGCAAAGCTAAAGCAGCAGCAGCTAAAGCCTAGGGCCTAGATCTGTTTTCGCCAGCGGAACACATCTGAATGTTTGTGAGTACCACTTCGGTTGGCTAGATAGCAAACAGACTGCATGGTGCCATCATGGTGCATGAGGATGGTGTTCCTGCTACGTACAGCGGTTTTGATAATCGGGCCAATCACCTGTGAGGGAACGGCTGGAGTCCGGTAGGTGATCGGATGACAGAACCCTCGGGAGACTCACGACGGCAGCGCCAAAATCTGTGCCCTATATGCTGATGCATGCGGACTACATGTGGATTAGAAAGGGTTTATGCAGGGCTTATGTTTGTAGGGTCTAAAGGCCTTAACTATCATATATGTAGTCGGTCGGGTTTAGGAGGTTGGTGTTCGTGTGTGTATGTGTGTGTGTTTGTAGGACCTTAAACCCCGATCGATGTGTACACATACCCTTGAAGTGCTGTAAACGATATGAAATTCATAGGCTTCTAGATATTTCGACAGCACCCTAATAACTGCATCTATATAAGCCCCTCGATCCTCATATGAGGTCCAACACTGTATTATTTTGTTCCTGTTTCTTCGGTGCCCACAATCTAGTTATCTATCTATATATAGGTTTATGTGGTTCCTATTCACCCGAACCATCATCATAACAAACCCTTAGAACACTACCTAAGATTTCTTGAACTTGGCAGTCGTATATGCTCGGTCCAAATAAATCTAATCACAATCCTCGCAACCTATTGTGAAACCCCGGGCCCTGTGGGCAGGCTGTATTGTAGTTACGTACCCTGAACTTGAGCCCGAGATCTTGGTACCCACACCCCGTCACCTAGAAAGCCTTGCTATCCAATGAAATACCATCCGGAATCTTCTAAATTATCGATCCCATTAAGAGCCCTTTTGCCAGGTCAATTTGGGAGGATGGGCCAGGAAGCTGCGAGGCAGATCGTCAGAGGAGCCAGAATCCCAGATCATCTGCAGCCTGAGGATGTGATAGGGCAGTCGGTATGCACATATTCTTGCACTGCGAGCTCTGTCAATCGGATGCTGCAGCGCTTTGGGCTGTCGGTTTCGAGCTTGGCATGTGCACTCTCGTGTCCTTAATTCTATATATAGCAATGATCGATCGAAGGGATTAGAAATATTTCACCATACCGTTTCTATCCCGTGGCGCAAATTTATAGGGCCTGCCATGGATGAATGGCTGGAGGAGCTCTTACTTTTACCGAAGTACAAGCTCCTTGACAGAACCTATTCAGCTAGGTGTTGTCTGTCGGAAGTGGACATTGGTGCATACACCCTTAATTCATTTGACTTGACAGGCCTCTGGGACCCCTGAACTCCGGCGACCTCCTGAAGTTTGCTAGCAGCAACATGGCTGATCGTGGTCTATCGTTTTTGCATCCTTGCATCCAATGCATGTTAATTGTTGTTGATGCAGTTGACTCCAATCAAAGGCCTACAGGCTGTACCTGCTGTGCATTGGAAGTATCACAAGTACTTTGATGCCGAAATCCGTGCCCTACCCCGGCTATGTGAACTGTGGCATCAACTCTTAGCGAACAAGCAGATCTTCAAGATTGCACTTCCTGATACATCCTTGCCCAAGTCGCCGGGCGCAGTCTTTCGGGCTGCAGAGCAGATGATGGATGTCGCCTCTTGCCTTATGCAATTTGCTGATGGTGCTTATCGTTCTAGGGTACATGGACTTTACACACTGGACAACTCAGGTTCTCACTGGTACTTCCGTGGCGGCTTACAAAATCGGTTTCACCCATGATCCTTATGAGAGAGTGCAGGGGTACCTTAAAGACGGATACCACCACATGCATTTGTTACACATATCAGCATCGAGCCTGATTTGCAAATGCATTGAAGCTCATCTCATCAGATTGTACAGGGGCCGACAAGGCTGCTTGAACGAAAGCCTCGGAGGCGAGGGTCCGGATCACTTTGATGGTCCTTACTTTGTCTATGTGTCTGTGAAGGTCGTTCAATAATTCGATGATCAGGGATCCAAAGCCCATGTGAGTGGGGAGAGTGCTCACTGTGCCGCAAAACCGATCGTTTGCCTCGAATGCCCAACGCATGTCTTAATACAACTTAATTGTACTCTGCTGGCCGAGCTTAGGCCACTGGCAAGACCGTCTCTGCCTTCGCTCGTGCAAGCTGCTCTAGAGAGCGTGGCCAAGATGCAGTACTGGATAGTCTGGCGAAGACATCAGAGAACAGATTGGAGGACAAGAGCCACGAAGTGCAGCTAAGTTGCAAGCAGCAGTAGATGGTGTCATCACGGCCATCTTGTTGGCTCGCTCAGTAACTTATATAGACCCAAACCCTATACCCTCAGAAGTGAGGTTCAATCACTATATGGTATTCGTAAACCCAATACCCTTCAGAAGCGAGGTTCAAGCGCTATGTACGTAAACCCAAACCATTCAGGAGTGAGGTCCAGACACTATATCTACTTAGATCCAAACCCTTCAACTTGAGGTTCAAGCACTATGGGCTGGCCCTCGACATCCCCATATCCTACGTGGACGTTGGTGATGCGAAGAAGAATATGCCGTGGATCAAGCCGACTGATTTATTCCAACATCTAGCTGATTTGGGCAAACTTGACTTGCTGTATGCAGAGCAGGATACGAGCGTCTTGACACAGCTCCCTCGGCCTATTTCTGGAGTGCAATGGTAACTTCCTTTTCTCTAGGTTCTTATAAGGGTTCTTGTATGTATATAATACAGGTTCTTATATAGTTTTAAGTTTTGAAGGGTCTTAGGGTTCTTAGGGTTTTGTGGATTTCGGGTTCTTGAGGCGTTGGGGTTCTTAGGATTTTTGGGTTCTTAGGGCTTTAAGGTCCGTAGGTTTACGGTTCTTAGGGTTTTAGGGTTCTTAGGGCTTTAGGGTCCGTAGGTTTGTGGTTCTTAGGGTTTTAGGGTTCTTAGGGCTTTAGGGTCCGTAGGTTTGCGGTTCTTAGGGTTTTAGGGTTCTTAGGGCTTTAGGGTCCGTAGGTTTGCGGTTCTTAGGGTTTTAGGGCTCTTAGGGCTTTAGGGTCCGTAGGTTTGCGGTTCTTAGGGTTTTAGGGTTATATACTGATATAGGGTCCTTATTTATATGGCTTATATGGTTCGTACGGCATTAGGGTTCTTAAGGGTTCTTAGGGTTTTATAGGGTTCTTCTAGGATTCTTAGGGTCACTTAGGGTCCTTAGGGTTTTAAGGTTTTTAGGGCTCTTGAGGATGCATGTCGATAATACTACAACCCTCTAAACCCAGCTTGCACGATGTGTGCAGGAGGCAAAGGCTTTCTCTCGATCGGATCTCCATAAACAAATATGAGGTTATACGCTGCGATCAGTGTCCCAATCTGATAAAGATTTGCAATTCCATAAATAAATAAAGTTAATTGAGTAATTTCTCTGAGCCCCCTTAGTAAACCCTACCAACCCTTTAATGTGCATATATGGGTATAAGTCAGCACGTAGGGCTTGTAAGGTTGGTTTTTTTTTCGCTCCCATCCAAGGTTCTGGGCAAGGTTTGCCGTTCTGGAACCTGGGAATACAATCAATGATTGCTTCGACTCCGGACTCTGCGTGCCAGAGCGAACAATCCCACTGCTACTTCACGGCGACGAGGCTCGGAGCAAGAAACACCTACCGATGATGGTCGCCAACACACATGCAATGATCGGCTATGGATGCAAGGCTTACAAGAACTGGTTCGCCGAGGCTCCTCTCTCGAAAAAGCAAGCTGGTGGTGTGAATCTTGAAGGCGCCGTTCAGAAGACTCGCTTTTTGCACTTCGTCATGCAGAAAAAAGACTACGGCGAGGACGCCCAGCACCTGGACAAAATGTTCGACGCCTTGGCTATCGACTTGGCGAAGCTGCAGACGGAGGGCATCAAGGTGAACGGCGAGAGGTGGCACCTTGTCGTGATAGCGGCTGTCGGAGATTGGCAATTCTTTGCCAAAGTGGGACACCTCAATCGATGCTACACTCACGTGTCCAAGCGATCTGGCCAGAAAACACTTAATGGGATTTGCCACCTGTGCCTGGCAGGCGAGCATAGCTGCCCCACCTGGGAAGACTTCGTCGATTCACCGACTTGGAGACCGACTTGTGGCACACTGGAGCCGTGGGAACAGACGCCGTCGCTGATTCGCCGACTTCATGTCAACGTTGCGAACAGGGCGTCCTTCTTCCAACCTGATTTCTGGCACTGCTTGCACCTGGGCGCAGGCAAGAATCTGGTTGCCAGTGCTGTTGCTGAATGGCTCCGTGTGGTGCCCGGCCGCTCGGATCTTCAATGCCTATACACATTTTTTCTTGCATTTGTTTGCAACCCTATAGAGGACCTAGAACCCTAACCCCCTAGCTCAATTGAAGCTGTGAACCCTAAACCCATGTAGCCCTTTCAACTCTGGGGCTTCGCTGGCTCATTAACATTTTTCGTTGTCTTATGTGCTCATAGGGCTTTCTAAGGTTTATATATATATATATATAACTGTTATAATTTTGTTGGTTCCCTCTTTGGTCGTACTGGTAATAAGTATTTAGGTTAGGCTGGTTTTGTGCCGGCCGGGTTCCAAGATAGTAGGGTCGGTCAAAATATCCGAAGGTGCCAACATGGGCGAGCGCTTCTGCTTCATAGATGATGCTGCACAGGCATGGCTCCGCAGTCGCAACGATAAGTTGTATTGCAAATGCATTTCTGCTGTGACAATGGGCATCGACAGTTTGCAGAAAGTGCCAACCGCTGGATGGCAGAAGGCTAGCGACACCACGCTGCTCTTGGAGTTCCTTGAACACTTTTGCAGTGTGAACGCAGGCCTTGCAAATGCTGATCCGATCCTGCGCTGGACGTGGGTGGCTGCCTCGAACATCAACCTCGCCGTGCGTATGTTGTATCGGGGCGGTCTCTGGCTGGATCAGAGTACGGCACACACGGTGGCCCGCTGCGGACTTAATTTCTTGAAATCTTACGGGCACCTTGTGGCGATGACGTTGGCGGCGGACAGGGACAGGTTCCCTGTAACACCCAAATTGCATATTTTGCATCACTTGTTTTTGCACTTGCAAGAAAATGCTTCAAGATGCTCCTGGACGCTATCCTTTCTTGGCTATTCAGTGCAGCAAGATGAAACTTTTGTTGGCATACAGGGCAGAGCGAGCAGAAGAGTTGGACCCCAGCATGCCGCTCTCCGTGTTCTGCAACGCTATCTGGTGGACGCAGCAGAGCACTTGACGCCGGAGTTCCGCTTGGCCGCCAAAAAATTCGAAGGGGCCGAGGGCCCAGAGCAAACCCGAAGCTTGAAACGCCCTCTTCCATCAAGGCCCATGCAGAACCCACCACTGGTAGGTTCCTTTCGGGGTTCTTAGGGCTGTAAGGTTCGTAAGGTTTTAGGGTTCTTAGGGTTTTAGGGTTCTTAGGGTCTTGTAAGGTTTTCATATATATATATATATATATCTCTCTCTCTTTATAGGGTCGATCTTATATAGGGTTCCAAGGGATGTCAATGACTTTGCAGCCCGAAACCCGGCCGAACCTCCTCAGCTCCCTGTGTATAGGGTTGATAACAATTATAATAACTTTTATATGGCTTTTGTTGGTAGTCAAAGATCGCTCAAGTCTTGCGGTCTCCTCGAAACAGTCCCCGATCCCTGCCAGATTCCGAGCCCCCAATCTTAAATCCCTGAACCCTGAGCGAGCTCAAATAGGCCGTTCGAAGTTTCGTAGGACGATTATGTAGCCGAAATCCCCAAAGACCCAAACAACCCAAGATTCTCAATCCCAACTTCAGGCCAAATCGCTGTAGGGAGGATCCCAAACCTTGCAACATTATAGGACCCAACCAACCCTGTAACACGTGAAACACCCAAGCAACCAGGGATGCTGAAGCCAAGGGCGCTCGAAACCTCAATAAGAGTCCCAGGTCCCTGTAATTCTTTATGAACCGAAGCTCTCAAATCAACGTCTGATAACCTCAATTAACCCGAAACCTGCCGAAGCCTTATAAAACCCTATACACCCCGGAGCGTAAACCCTGAACCCCAAACCCTGCTCGAACCCTAAACCCGAAACCCTCAACCCGGAACAACTGTATGACCATTATGAGGACTTTTGTTCAGCGGTTGTTTTCGGATGGTTCAAACCCTGAACCCGAAACCCTCTATATATATACCCGGAATAACTAGACGACGATTATGGACTTGTGTTCGGTTTCGGATGGTCGAAACCCTGAACCCTAACCCGAAACCCTGTAAACCTTGTACAAGAGAGACGTGTTTTCACTGGTTGTTTTAGGATGGTTGTAGCCCTGAACCCTATAAACCCGAAACCCTTAAAACCTTTTTTACGGTGGTTGAACCCTGAACCCTAAACCCGAAACCCTATATAGAACCTTTGTACACGAAACACGTGTTTTCAGTGGTTGTTTTCGGATGGTTGAGTGGTTGTTTTGGGAAGGTTAAGAGGCCCTCGTTCAGTGTGTTCAGACAGACTAAATAAAAGATCTTCCGCGTTTACTTTTTTTTCGACCCGAAAAAAAAGTAAACCGAATCCCACGAATAGAAAAAAGTATCCGGACGTATCTACTGGTATGGGTATTATATACCCATTAGATAGCCCATTATAGGGTAGGGGTCCCCATTAAGGGTCCCTCCTTTTCCCCTTTCCCTTTGAGAGAGGCTTACAAGGAGGAACCCTCATATAATCTAACTTGGGGTTCCGGTCTAAGGGGTTTCCTTTTAGATCAAAAACAATTGGGACTATTAGACTGAAGACTTTCAGGTTCCCATAGTCAGGCCGTAGTCACCCTCTTTATCACTTGGTCTGAGATCAGGCTTCCGGGCATCGAATGTAGAGGCCTGAATAAGTAGAACAGGGTTGAGGGTGTGGGGTATACGGACTATATCATGACTAAGTTATGTCTATCCAGACCTCGTTTTCAAAATCAAAAAGGGCACACAACTTAAAACCTTCATAACGCAATCAACCTTTGAATGTGCCACATGCTACGACTTCAACTGCTGCAAAAGCCCTCATTCACCAAAAACTACGAACCCCAGCCGCTCTCATAACTTCGTACGAACTTGGGCACTTCCCCATATTTTCATCTACATTACTGCCATCCTAAGGCCCAGTGTATGCCTAACCCTTCACCCTAAACGGTAAGCCCGAGACCCTAACAGAACTAACCCTAAATGCTAGTCATGCAGTTGCTTTCTGACCTTCACGGCATGTGCAGGCATTGTTTAACCCATTGCCGGGTTTCTGGGGTCTGTAAAGACTATCGCCGGGTCCTCAGCGCAACATATAAGGAACTTTTTTCCTGAGAAAGAGGTTTTGGGCACTCAATAATGTATTTGCACTTGGTGCTCTACGGACTATACGAGGATTTGCTACAAATGGAGAGCCTCTATTTTCAGATTTGCAACTCCTCTGCTGTCACTTCCATGCAATGATATTAGAATTGCATATTCATATAGGGTGCGGATTGGTGAATTTTAGGGTGTAAGGCTATGGCCTTCTAGGGTTTGAGGAGGCTGTGTAGCGTTCAATGTTGGAGGTGAAAAAACAGAAATTAATTCCGAAAACGCCGAAAGATGCCCTGAACCCCATGAATCCAACATACCAAAGAATAAGACAGAGGCCTTAATGATGAGAACTGGGTTTTGGAGTATGTTATGCTGTAACTATAGCAAGGAACCACCAGAATAGTATGGGTATCTATTTAAGGCCCTATAACAAGCGGCAAACAAAAAACGCCCAACTCGGGAACCGGCCGCTGCGCTGCAATGCGTGTCCACCCTGGAGAAGGGTTCGGATTTTACTGTGCAGAATTTCAGGGATTAGCGTTTCAGGGTTTAGGGTTCCAGGGTCAGGGTTTCGGGTTTTAGTGCTAGGGTTTGGGGGTTTAGGGCTCAGGACTTAGGAACTCTAGGGTTCAAGGGTTTAGGGTTTAGGAAGTAGGAAATTTAGGGTTTCAGGGTTTGGGGTTTGAGGTTCAGGGCTTCCGCAGGGATTTGGTCTTCGGTTAGTTTGGAGCTAGGGCTACCGGGTTGTTACGTCCTCCGGGTCTGGGGAAGCCGGGGTCGGGTTGCAAGGGTTCTAGGTTCCTTTAAGGGTTCGATAAGGGATCTATAAGGGTTTAGGGTTTGATTCAACCCTAAACCCTCATCCCTAGACCTTCTGGTATTTTCATTGAGATCACTGAAACCCTGCATATACAGCCCCATGGGAGTTTCGACAGCAAGCAGACGCCTTCACAAAGTCACCCTGGACACTCAACCTTGTCTTTGTCGCCACCGTCGGCATCTGTATGCAGTAAGACACTGTCACTACCATCAACATCGGCATCAGCACCCACAGTCAGCACCATCAAGCAGACCATAATCACCATCCTGATTTTCGTTTCAGCATGTTCAGCAGTTTCGACATCAACACCATCGACCGGCACACCATCACCACCATCACCTCAAAAACAACTACTGGCAGCAGCAATCCCCTCATAGCAGGGTTAAGCTTACCAGGAACTGCGGCCCTGAGGTATGAAATTTTGGGGCTTTTAGGGGTTTAGGGTTTAGGGGTTTAGGGTTTAGGGTTTAGGGGTTTCGGGTTTAGGGTTTAGGTTTTAGGGGGGTTTTAGGGGCTTACAGGGTTTAGTGTTTAGGGGTTTAGGGGTTCAGGGCAGCGGTTCATGACTACCTGTTCAGGGTTAGGGACTGAAGGGCTGAATCTCATGCAGACGGTCTGGGAGTTTCCGAAAACTAGGGGAACCTTATTCTGGGGTCCTTATAATAAGGATCCTACTATTTAGGGTACTATATTAAGGTCCCCCATTTTCGGAAACTCCCGTCTAGGGTTTCCGGTAGAGCCGTGACAAATGAACCCGTGCTCCGTGCAGTTATTCAGAGGTATCATGTCATAAGAAGGACGCTTTCTCTTAAGGAGGGGCCGGGCCCTTTCGATTTATTCTCAAGTAGGTCCGCAAAGCACCGAATACCCTTCTGTTGATATCCCCCCAAACCCTAAACCCACCAAAGGAACTGATCCTCAACCCCAACTTAAAGGACCATGGGACTTAGTAATTGGGGTTATGAATAAGGTAACTCCGGTTATAATTACTTAAAACCCAATGAAGGTACTTATAACTATATTTACTAAGTTAAGTCCCATAATCCTCCAAAAGAGGTTCACGTACCAAGTGGCCCTAAAGCTTCGACATGGGAGCCTGTTGAAATCCAAGACAGGTGCTCTGTGTAGGTACATGGACCCGAAGGGTAAGACGCCCAAAACCCGCAACTCTAAAACCTGAAGGTCTAGGAGGCGGCTGACTTTGCCATTGCGCTGCTTCTTCCCCCCAAAGTGTCTCCTGCCCAATCCTTTTCAGACATGAAGCCTGTCTGCAATGCCCACGGCACCCTCACAGGTGAGTGCGACTTCTTCTTCATCATCCCCCCCTTCGTAGATGCGCTCGTGCATCATTCTTCTGCACCCTCCAAAAATTCACGAAACGGGCTTGATGTCATGCTCATTGATGAATTGGGCAAGGGTCTTCGGATGCCTCTGTGTCAGGATGTAGCTTTCCTGAAAACACTGAAACCGAAATCCTAACCTTTGAAATCGATGCTACCCTAAGGTAGAAGCCCTAAACCCTAAACCCTAAACCCTAAGCCCCTAAAGCCCCTAAACCCTAAACCCTAAACCGAAGGTCGCCTTGCTTCCTTACTTGGCTTAAGCCACAGATCTCTGGTTCAGGGATTTTAGGAGACGTGGCTCCTCAAGTATTTGACCCTAAGGGTCCACGCACCCAAATAGGGCTCCTTTAAGGTGCCGTAAGGGTTAGGGTTTAGGGTTTAGGGTTTAGGGTTTAGGGTTCTAACAGGGGTACCATAAGGGTTTGGGGCCTAGGATTTAAGCGTCCATGTACCCAACCAGCAGATACTACGGCCCTAACGCAGCTCCTGTATCAACCCTTCTGGGGCCAAACTACACACTAGGGCACATGGACCCTTAAACCCTAAACCCTTAGAGGAACCCTAGGGTACATGGACCCTTAGGGCTGTAGGGGTAGTGATCTTCGCGTAGATGCAAGACCTCACTGCGATCTAGATCAATTTCTGGAGACACCAATATCCCTTTACAGGGATCTATCAGGGTTCCTTTAAGAATGGTAGATTGCTTTAGGGGTTTACATCGCCTCGAATAATTTTAGGAAGGGGGTTTGGGGTGGAGGGCTTCAGGGATTTAGGGGAAGTCCAGAACAATTTCAACCGCGAGTTTCCTGTTCAACCCACTTGGGGTGATAAGTTTTACAGCTTCTTGTCTGAGGCTGCGGCGGTCGAAAAAGGTTGCCTGCCACCGAGATCAGCTACGG